TTGACTCTTTAATGACCACATTTTTTTAAGCGCATAAATTTTTTTTGTTATAATTTCTAGTGATTCCAGTTACTAAGTAGTGTATAGATGAGTATGGAACATTGAAAATTGTATATTGAAAAATGTAAGGCAACATTTCAGTCCACTTGGTCTTACGAGATCCTAACATTAAACGCGACGGTATGATCCATTTAGTCTTCTGAGCGCAAAATATGGATGATATTATGTCTGTCTCTTATACACATCTAGATGTGTATAAGAGACAGCTATTGTTACTAGCAAAAGTAATGTACAAAATGATAATTAACTATGCCAGCTACATAATATCATCCATATTTTGCGCTCAGAAGACTAAATGGATCATACCGTCACGTTTAATGTTAGGATCTTGTAAGACCAAGTGGACTGAAATGTTGCCTTACATTTTTTCAACATACAATTTTCAATGTTCCATACTCATCTATACATCACTTAGTGACAGGAATCACTATAAATTATAACAAAAAAAACTTATGCGCTTAAAAAAATGTGGTCATTAAAGAGTTAACAGTTTTCTCGTGACAAAAACTCTAATGTGACTGATAAATATCAATAGAGTTGACATCCTGCAACACAAAACAGTAACAAGTGGTTGTTTAATCAAATAATGTGTTTCTAGATTGATAATATTGAATATCAGGTTTGTACTTTTATTAAAAACCTTGTAAGACAAGAATAACCTGTTGGTCCTGTCTTACCCCAGCCCCGGTCCCATCTTACCCCAGTGGGGTAAGATGGGACCAGCTCACTTTTTTTAATCTGTACAGAAAACTGTGTTGTATGCAGAAAGTCTGAGTTGTAGCTTAGAAGCCCATTGCATAACTACACCTTGTGATAGGTTTACGGTTTTTTATTTATTATTGGTATAGATGCTACATGCTTGTTAGTGATTTCGGTCCTGTCTTACCCCATCTGACTATATTAGTTTAACCATGAAAAAATTGACCTCACAAAAATGGCTCAAAAAAATTTATTTACTGCAACTAGTCATAGGTATTTTAAGCAAAACTGGTGTTATAAATCAGTTTGATGTTACAAGGTGACGTCACATGGATCAAGGTGACGTCACATGGACCAAGGTGACATCACAGGTGGAATAACAAATTTATGACATCCGTAGGGGGCAGCTGCGCTTGGGTCAACCTTGTATTAGTTCAACCATGGTAAACCCTGTCTAGGCAAGGGGCTGCATGGACCAGTTTCCAGTGCTCCTATAAGAAGAAGTAGGGTAGAGAAGAAGAATTAGAAACTGTTTATAACTCCCTCATCTACTCAATATTTCAATTATAAATATCAATATATTTTTACAATATATATTTATATGGCCTCTTGGTCTGTTTATTATACTGTTGCACAAAACAAAACAAACATATTAGTAGTGATCTATGCTGCAATCAGTGTAGAGCTTGTTTATGATTTAACTACAAAATAACTATCAACTATCCATAACATAAAATTGTATAGTATTATTCTTATTCCCTTTTAAAATCACAAAAAATATTATAAATTAACTTAACAAGCATATTGTAATCTGCCACCATAAAATGAATCAACTTACCAAGTCTCTATAATACGCTCTTATGCCCAGATCAAATTATTTGTGTAAGCTTTTTATTTAGCATCAAAAGCGATTAGTTTTGACCTCATAAGTTGTTTTCAAGATGAGTCAGGCACCTGTTGGTCCACCACATCACAATGATCAGCCAAATATCCCTGTGGCTGCTCCACTTCCACCCTCCAACCTCACTAATGTTCAGAAGTTTGAGTGGTCTTATAAAGAAGCATATGCCAGAGTAGATGCTGGTATTACTCTTATTACTGAAAATAAACATGCTCAGGTGAGAAATTTACTTTATACATATATTTCTTCATTGATTACATTTGATAAAATTTTGATTACCTACATTCCTATATGTAATAGGTATATATTCATGTTTATCAAGCTGCTTCTTCCAATCTAATCATTAGTATTAGGAGAAATTTGTTAAAAATATTTTAATTCATGAAAGCACAGAACTAATACCTATCTGAACAGTTTGAATTTGTAGCCTTGTAATATTGCCTGTCTTACTTTGTAAGTCTTTGTGAAAGTGTTTTATATGGGTATTCTCTTTAATTATTTATTAATTTCACTGGCCAAAGTAATCATTGTATGAGAATTTTGTTCTAATCAGCATAAGTATGAAACAATGTGGTAATTTTGTGTCATTTCTTGTGACATTATGCTTAACTAATCCTTTTGTTTCAGGCCAATCCTATTCTTCAAGAAGGCTTGTCTCTTCTTGACCAAGCCATTGACGTGAGCGTTGCTAGTCTGGGGGTAGACGATGACTTGGCTCGACACTACACAGAGATGCAGAACAAAATGCGACGTACCAGGCAAGAACTCAAATATGATCTTGAGGCCAACTATTTATATCATGTGTAACCAGTCTAATGATAGTCAATAGTAATTCTGATACTTTTTAATGACTTTAGAGTTACTTGTAGTCACTTGTATGTATTTGACCAGGAATAATTGTAAATTTTAACTAATTTAAAGTTCCTTGCATGGCTGCCATAAATTTCACTTGATGCTTGAAAAGTTTTGAAGTTCATTAAAAAATGCTCCAGAGATGAACTTAGTACTAGTAAAATATTCACAGAAACAACCAACTAAAAAGCAAATATGATTCCTAAGTGACCCACATATTTCCATTCGGCATTGAAGTTTTTATGTGAATAAACTGCTCAAGCTGCTCTCAAGTTATTACTGGCCAAGTCTTTATCAATTACTATCGTGACTTTCATTTTTTAACTTCTTCCAGGTTCAATTGAAATTTGTGTGGCTAATGATAGTGGTTTGGACGAACCTAACAATGGTCTTTCATGAAAGTAAACCAAACAAAATGAGCTTTGGTCACTAAAACGTGTGCTGATCTCACATTAAGTTATTTTTCTTCAGTACCTTCACACAGTTTAAAAGAAGTGCCATCTCATTCGTACCTAATATTCATTTGCAGGAAGGAAGTACTGGAACATTTTGCCACTAGCCAGCTGTTCTCTGGAGCCGTCAGTCAGGCAGGGTATCCAGCTGTTCCTCAGAACCCACCATCTTATCAAGATGCAATTGGTAAATCATAGAATCCAGGACATTTACTATGAACTTGCAACAGTTTGGTAAATATTGTAATAATAAATATCTATGTGTATACATGAACGTGTAAAATTTGTTCTCAGGTTCATAGCATCATTATTGAAGTATTGCACAGTATTCTGGAGGTGGTGTTGCTGATTTAATTTTAGTTTTGGAATGTTTATTTAAATTCTGAGTAGTTAGAGTTCTAGTTGAACGAAATATATTACGCAGTGACTATTTAAATGACTTTGTGCAGATGAGGTTCGTTACCCACAGTTACCTGGGGAAGAAACCACCCCTCGCATTACCCTACCCACCACTCCCACTGCCCCCTGCCAGTTCTCCCTGGAAGTAGGCAACCACAACACCCCAGGCGTTAGTCCCCTTGTCACCCCCATCATGTCCCCTCAGGAGGGCACGCTGCTCTTCAAGATTGACGAAGGCGTTCAGATATTCTTCATTTATCCCGACGGGCGCGTGACCAGCCCGTCATACCCTTCCTTCCTAGAGATTGTCACCTTGCACCGTAAGCATAAATTCCTTCTGTTATAAAATTAGCATCTTATACATATAATTAGCGCTAAGTTTCATCATTGCAATTTTATAGTGAATGTGTAGTTTTTATGCCTATTAGGTGTAGGTAATTGTTTGGTTCAAGATTGAAAGTTAGGATAACATTTGTTTTCTTCTCAAATTTGATTGAGTTCTTTAGCAGAATTGAATTTGTTGCTTTTGAAATAGGTGCCATTCACCAATTCTAATAGGCCAATTACAATTTCATTGTTATCATGCAGGACTGAACTTCTTCAAGTTAATCTACTGAAAGGCCGGCTGCATGTTTTCTAACAATGCGCCAGCAATGTCAACGTCATTTGCATTGCATTGAGTACAATGCGTCTGTTTTTGTGTGAAGTATACACTTGTATTTAAGAAATGGAAATTAGTAAACGAAACTTAAGGAAGGAGAGCTATTATTTATTTGAGTGCTATTACTCTGCACACCTGCTCTTCTGATATTGCGGTACCGCTCACGATTGGGCTGACTTTTTCATCTTGTGCATCTCAGTGAATATTACTGTTGTTACTAAATATTGTTTCGTGTTACATCAATTCATATCATATACCATATTATTATGGTATATATTATTAATATATACCACAATATGATATTATTAATATTATAATTATTATATAATAATATAATATTTTATATCATAATATATAATATAATATTATTATTATGGTATATTAATATTGATACGTATATATAGAGACTTCAGTGTGATATTATTGTATTGCAGAGCCGCTGTGCGTGGGCAGTGAGGGGAGCATGGCGGGGGGGTTCCTACAGGTGGGGGAGTGGAGCTACCCCCTCGTGAAGGCCACTTCCCCCGTCCTGCACTCCTCCTACGGCGCCTACATGTTCCCTGACTTCAGCAACCCCGTGCCTGGTCAGAGACTGTCTCTGGCCTGCTACTCTGTCATATTAACAAGGAAATATGCCATATTTACTCATTACGTTCATGTAACTTGTCTATTGGAGATATTGTCTTAATTGTTAAGAATAGAATAGAAGTGTCGGCACTGCAGAAATAGGCCCATGGCCTGTTGCCGATTCTTGAACTTTTCGTGACTTGATTCACAAGGGATCCGGCCTTTGGAACCCGATCTTTCCATAACTGACGATTGATTGAGATAGCTGCTGGACTTATTGCCTGCTCCGTAATTTGCTAGGCATTTTAAGACTGAACATATGCTCTTGCATAGCTTCGTCGAGTCTGTTTTTGAAGATGTTCATACTCGGAGCAGGGCATCACGTTTATTCACTATTTCCATGTCAGTGATATGCAACGATTGGAGATAAAATTTTGATTACAGTCAAATGAATATGAGGATCATCGTAGGACATCGGTGAGGGGACGGAATGATAGGGGTGGGATTCCTCGTATTATTCCTTCTCAGCGCGTTTGAGATAAATGAGTCTATCTATTTCACTGGCAAGCTCAGGTAGGTAGGTAATATAGATCTCGTGATTACCTGGTATACTGGTTTAATTTTACTCTTATAAAGTAATCATGATTTATTTTCTACTTCTTAAATAGACCCCAGCGAAGCAACGGCTATAACGTAGTAATATTAATCGTATGCCTGGTCTACCTACTGAAGTGCTAGTCCTACCTAAGCTTCTTCTAATAATATAAGCGCAGATTTCATAGCAGCGTAAATAGCTCGTGCACTCAAGTCTAGTGTAAGCAATGCGTGATGATGTATATCGTATAATGCTTCCGTCTTCTCAGTCATTTACATCGCTATGTGACCTCGCTGTCGCGTGGATGTTCTTTAATGTCAAAGTGGATGACATCTGACGCCAACGTGGATGATATTTAACACCAACGTGGATGACATTTGACGCCAACGTGGATGACATTTGACGCCAACGTGGATGACATTTGACGCCGACGTGGATGACATTTGACGCCGACGTGGATGACATTTGACGCCAACGTGGATGACATTTGACGCCAACGTGGATGACATTTGACGCCAACGTGGATGACATATGACGCCTACATGGATGACATTTGACGCCTACGTGGATGACATTTGACGCCGACGTGGATGATATTTGACGCCAACGTGGATGACATTTGACGCCGACGTGGATGACATTTAACGCCAACGTGGATGACATTTGACGCCAACGTGGATGACATTTAACGCCAACGTCGATGACATTTAACGCCAACGTGGATGACATTTGACGTCAATATGAAACTTGGTACACATGTTCATTATGCCCTAACGGTGATGTCAAGCTCGTGACAATTATTTTTAATATCGCCTTCATTTATGAGTTATATGACGAAACGTCCCGAAATTTGCAGTGTACCACTACGTCTTGGACAAATTTACGGCCGGTCTCGTGGCCGCCGGACTAAAAACAGAAAAAACCTAGCCAATCAACAAAAACCTCACAGGTTAGGTCCAGTTAGGAACAGGTTCCATTAAAAACACATAAAACCTAGAAAAACTCATAAAAACACCACAGGTTAGGTCCAGTTAGGAACAGGTTCCATTAAAAACACATAAAACCTAGAAAAACTCATAAAAACACCAAGAAAACCTTTTGGCCGTGAGACCGGCTGCCAGTCCGGCTGTAAATTTGTCCGAGACCTGTGTACCAGCCATTTCTTCTAAAATGCTGAACAGATTTTAATGAAACTTTGCGTGTAGAAACCTAACCTCCCAACGGTGTGATGTTTAGCTCATGACAATTTTTTATGTTTTGCCTTCGTTGGCGAGTATTTTTCTCTTTTCCCTCACTCGTGATTTAATCAGCAAAATTGTGTTTAAATTTTCAGTGTACCAGAGATTTCTTCTAAAATACTGAACAGATTTGAACGAAACTTTGCATATAGAAACCTAGCTTCCCAATCCCAACAGTGATGTTTAGCTTGTGACAATTTTTTTGATTTTGCCTTCATTTGCGAGTTATACGGAGAAACGACCGGCATTTCTCAGGCCGATTTTTGAACTTGCATTGACCAAGAGCCATATAGTCAAATGGGGTAAGACAGGATCGCAGCCTTCATGGGGTAAGAAAGGACCAGCCCATGGCATGCATTCTAATTGCACTGAATTTAATTTACACATCTAGATGTGTATAAGAGACTGGATGACATTTGACGCCAACGTGGATGACATTTGACGCCAACGTGGATGACATTTGACGCCAACGTGGATGACATTTAACGTCAACGCCTTTTGACTAACGCCACCTCTCCTACAGGCAGCCATGTTGGCATCATCATCCCGGACTCGGTGACGGCAGACGAGCGCGAGCTGTTCGAGGGCATCCTGCACCAGATGACATCCTACCACGAGCAGACGCAGCACAAAACTGTCTGTATTTCCTGTACCGAGTCAGTTCAATTTATGTGTGGTATTACCAATTGTGAATACTTATTGCCTATTGGGTACATCACTTCTCAGCAATGTTGTTATTTTTTTGTATTATTTTACTTGCCATGTGACATCTCTACGTGGTTTTATCTTCGCATTCGTAATGTTTTTAATTGTTATAGCGTGATCCTATTCTCGAGTGCTTTTTTTGGGGGAAAAATCTTGTGTTTTTGATTTTATTTTGTTATTGTAGCTAAATAATAATATATTAGATAGTACCACTCATGCAATGCTGGCCTAAATACAGTATAAACTCGTGCCATTATTAAGTTGTGTGAGGAACTGACAAGCGCCGTGTTGCTGGTGCAGGGGGAGGCAGGGGCGGCAGCACAGGCCGCCTCCACGCCCTCCACCAGCGAGCGCATCGCTGCGGGGCTCGTGGCAGGTATATAGCTTCTCCTTATGTTGAATCTAGGTTAAGTGCTCGCTTTTACTTTACTGTGTACCTTCTCATTAGCATCTTATTATCAATAATAATCTTTTTTGCGCATTCTCTCATTTATGGAAAAAATGCACTATTGTGCTCGCCATGTCCGTCTGTCTGTCCGTCCGTGACTTCACGTTTTCGTCGACGAGAAAATGCGCTCTCTGTCAATCACTGCAGTGAGTACTGAGTTATATTTTTTCTGTATCAATCCTTTCATTTATGTATTTTATTGGACACTTTCCTGTATAACTCTTTACCTTTATGTACATTAGTGGTCATATTGTCATTTCCTCATCGAACTCGCTCTCTTTATAAATCCTAATGGTCATTTCCTCCTTGAATTTTGTATTAGTCTTTATTTCTTCATTAATATACGGATGGAGATTGCATATTCAGGACAAACTAATTAATTTTGACGGCGGTTGAGAGTCGAGCAAAGTTAACATGCTTTGTTCCTTGTCGTATAATGAAAGACAACCAATTTGCCGAGTAAAAAAAAAGCTTTGGTGCGTGCGTGGAATATTTAAAAAACGTTAATTGACAGGTGCTTAAACCAAAGCATATTCATCTTTACAGTATCCCTCAACTATCGCGGGTTTTACGTTGCAGGCCTCGGACGCGATAGGTGAAATCCGCGATATTAGAATTGATCGACTAATAGTACTTATTTAAGTATTGAAATTGTAATTGTTTGGTAAGGTTTTATTTTTTCGATTGTTTACAAACCTCTCCCATACTCCTAGTGGCGATCGAGTGCCGCGGGCTGTTCAAATCGACAGATCGGCCGTCTCAGAAATCCGCTGACTGCATGGCAAAGAGCAACGAACACTAATAAATCTTCTCGCTAATATTTCTTCAAATGCCGAGATGATGTGCCGCTCGATGTTTGGCAAGCGGTTGCTGTAGGTATATGCTATCTGGTCTTGAGCAACACCTGTGCTATAGTTTGTTTTGGTTTTTGCATCTTTTTGGCTCTTTTTCGATGCATCGAACTTGACCGTTCTTGTGCGCACTTAGCACACTTCTTCCAATTTCAAGTGTCAAGTCTAGATAATATTTTAGGCACATCTCTATTATTTTAACGAAAAGTTCAGCTGACTAAATGTATAATTAAGTGAATGTAGTACGCGTTGATGATAATACAATAAACGTATTAACTACAACACCAGGAAGAAGAACAACCGAATTTTTTAATTATTTTGTTGGGACGTTTCCGCATCCATGCATGGATGTAAATCCGTTTTGTTGTCTAACCCCGAATACTGGATGACCCGGCAGCGCCCAAGTGTGAACAACAGGATTCATGTGACGCTGAAGAACAGGATTCATGTGACGCTGAACAACAGGATTCATGTGACGCTGAACAACAGGATTCATGTGACGCTGAAGAACAGGATTCGTGCGACGGTAACTACGACGCAGTCATGGACGAGGGTGAGAGACTCGCGCCATGTACAGCTTCTGATTGACCTGCCCATGAACTGGGGCTCGTAGGGGACGATGCTTGCCGTGATTACAATTACTGTGGCTATAGTGATTTCCGTGGGTGGTTATCCAAAGTGGTTAACCACCCACGATAACCACCCAAGTGGTTATCCAAAGTGGTTAACCACCCACGATAACCACCAAAGTGGTTATCCAAAGTGGTTATCGTATCAGATAACCACCAAAAGTGGTTATCGTGGGTACCAAAGTGTGTACGTTATTATCTTGGGTACCAAAGCTGGTACCGTGATTGCCGTAGGTACCAAAGCTGGTATACCGTGATTACCGTGGGTATCAAAGTGTGTACGTGATTCCCGTGGGTACCAAAGCTGGTACCGTGATAACCGTGGTTCATATACTGCGGGATTCTTGGAGCGAATTGGTATACCAACATTGTCCGTGTGATGCCCCCTCGTAGTTGTAATTCTTATCTGATTCTTCTTGTGGTGTAATGTTATCATTGTACTGAAATGTTAACATACTACTTGAATGTTAAACCTTCTGAAATTTTGACCTCTTACTGAAAGGTTACCGTTACACTGAAATGTTGACCTGTTGACACGACATTTGAAGGCCTTTTTAATGTATCGGGTGAGGTGGGCATTTGATAGAATCCATTTAAGGCTGTACTGAAATGTTCTGCGACTGAAATTTTATTCAGAATTTTGGAGAAATATTTGCACTGACGTGATTTTAATAATACCTACCTTATCTATGTCGGGGAATGTCGCAGCCTTCACGTTGGAGAAATGCTTAACCTTTAGCCCCTCGACACAGAAGTCATGTCCCTACTTTCGTTGTCGTGATATTGCCGTTTCCCCAATCCCTGCTGATCCCGATGTTTTTATTAGCTGAGAATGTACCATGGCAAATGTAACCGTCTAGATTAAGGACCAGGGCATTGTGAACGCTTCACACCTCCCATAATTTGAGTTATATTCGCGATGCCATTCTATCGGCAGTATTATTATTAAGAAAATAAATTAGGTAATGATTGTCATGGCAGTCAGATCGCCATCTCGAGAAAGCTTCTTCTTTTTCTACTAATAAAAATTTCACATTATTATTAGCAATGAGATGGAGATTTCAAACAGAATTGATTCATCTTTTATCATGCTATACCTGTTTATCCTCCGATGGTTATGTTGGTTATTATTTAAATTATCTTCTGCAAAGAAGTGCTTCTGTTCCGCAATCCTCCGTTATTTGGAGCGCGCCAATTGCTTCTGTTTTATGCCGGCGAAATAACCCACTTCTTTGGTGGAAACTTTTTGTGCTCATTCGGTTTTTGTTGGGGCTTGGGATTCTAGGATTGTTTGTGCCAGGTTTAATTACTGATATTTTTAGATTGTCTCTGATCACTCAATGTTTGATTGCTTTTTTTCAGATTTGCTGAAATTATTGAAGCGATTCAGCACATTAGTTATTTCAGTTTTTATTTTTGATTACGCTTATTTATCTAGAAATGTATTTACTCTTTATTTATGGACTATATTAACTATAATCGATCCTCTTTGCATTAAAAAGTCACGCAGGTTCGCTTGCTCTCATGATCAAAGTGATCGCTTTCATGCTGAGCCACAGGTAATTTCTAATTTAACTTCACGTGATGTTAATTTAGTTTTGAAATTTTACATTGTCTTTAAATCAACACTGGATCCAACTCTGTGCTTTTTATTAAATATCTTATGTGACGAATTTTCCTTTTCTGTACCCCTAACATCATTGATTCATTATATATATCACCCGAGAACTACATGGCATTAGACTTGACTTATCCGTCCGTACCTACGCACCACTACAGGGGCGGAGCGCGTGTCTAGCTCGCTGGTGTGGGGTGCCAACAAGATGAGCGAGTTGCTGGCTCAAGGGTCGGAGCGTCTGCAGCAGAGCAGCCCTGGCGTGGGTACGGAGCCTGGGGCTGCCCCCACCAAGATAGACCCCAAGCTCCAGACCACCGCTAAGGCTGCCAGGGTCGTCAGCGGCAAGGCAGTACAAGTTAGCAGCTATATTTGTAAGTGTTCAGGCCTGTAGTGCTAGAGTCTGCTGACTAGAAGTCTATGTGGATTACTTGTAATGTCAAATGACAAGACTTGTGTTTGTACAAAATAAGATTACTTAATGCTTACAATTATGGACTAAATTTAACCCATATTGAGATTTTTTTGTTGTGTTGTGCCAACAAGACAGCTTAAAGTCGTGTGATTTCCACAGTAATCGTGCACTTTTTTTCATTAATGCTATTCAGATAAATAAACAATATACTTCCCTATTTAATAGTCGAATCTTCTCCCTTGTAATTCCTTGCCAACTTAACAATGCATGTAGTGTATCTGGTGGAGTGTTATTGAATTGCCTTGCCCACTGCACCTGTCATGCACCTTGTTTTCAGTGGGTCGGGTGGGCAGTTGAATACAGCCATTTGTATGCCTTTTAATGTAGTGGGTGAGGTGGGCAGTTGATACAATGCATTTAATAAAATTATATTAAGTGGATAGTTGACACAGTGCATTTGCTCGCAGTGGGTCAGGTGGGGAAGGCGTCGGTGGGGCTGGGCAGAAGGCTGGCGCCCCACGTACAGCACCACGGCACCCGCGTCTACACCAGCCTCACCGGGCAGTCGACGGAGCACAGCAGCGCTCAGGTACCTCGTCACCACCCTGCTACTTACTTCACAGTGCCATTATACCTGTTTGCAAATTGCTATAATAGTTTTTACCTCATTTTGATGATTTGCTGGCTATAATGATAGTTTGCAAGCCATTATTATAGTTTGCAGTCCAGTACTATAATAGTTTGCAAATGATTGTTATATCAATGCGATGTCCAGTGTTCAGTGCGCTTGTAAGTATCTTTTATATCATGTTCAGTTTTCGATAATTCCATACAATGTCCAGCGTACGTGTCTTAAATTTGAACTAATACCATCTCGTGGTCCATGCCACGCCTGCAGAAATATATTATTTACTTCACAAATTGCAAATTAAATTTGCACTGTAATCGCAATTACGAAATTTCTGTATCATTTCTCGTGCGTTTTTAGCGTGTTAGGTTGTTGTCCATTGCTGTAATTTTTGCGTGTTTTTGAATTGTGGTAATTGTTGAGGTTTTATAATGTTGTAGTTAATTGCGGTTTGTAGGTGGACGGGGCGCTGGACGTGGCTGCTGGGGCGCTGAAGGGTGCGTCCACGGTCTACATGGGGCTGGAGGAGGCCGCCAAGACCCTCGTCACGTCCCTGGCAGACAACACCGTCAAGGTCGTCAAGCACAAGTAAGTCATCAGCATCCTCCACACTTCTGCATGTGAACTAACGAAAAGAGCGACACTACTTGTTCGTACTTATTCAAATCTCAGTGATTACTGTAACTACTAGCCCAGCGTATAAAAGATCCTTAGAAGTAATATTTGTTTGAGTGTTGTGTAAACGTTAACGTTCCTTATTACCTCAGGTACGGAGCAGAGGCTGGGGAGTTCACGGACAACGCCATGTACGCCGTGGGGCAGTCGGCGATGGCTGGCCATAACATCGCGTCGCTGGGGGTGAAGGGCGTTGCCAAGAAGGCGGCTAAGAGCACGGGCAAGGCTCTTGTCGAGTCGCACTATGAGAAGAAAACTGGCAAGGAGCAGCAGCAGTTGTGTGGAGCTCAGGAGGAGGTCATGGAAGGCACGGAGCTCGGCGAAGAGGCTCGGGAGGATCAAGGTTTTGTTCTGGTCGAGAAAGCCCAGGAAGCCAAGGAGCGGCCTTAGAGGATGGATGGTCCTGGATTATATGGACTAACGAAGCGGAAAACGCTGGTGAAGTTCTTAATCTTCTCTCAAATCAAAAAGGATATGTCTTGGGAAGGCCTTGGAAAATCCTTTGAAATGCCTAGAAACTTATTAGAAAGAGGCCTTAAATGTCGCATAATATTGTACGACCATAGAATCAGTAAGTTTGCCAAAGAATTTCCGAGGTAAAACCTCAAATAGCGGTTGAGTTTAAATCTTGTGGAAATATGTGGTAATGTTGAACAGCGAGTCAGATTATATCGCGCTGAGCTCAGGAGGGAATAAAACAAGGGTCGTTACCTGCTGTGATCGCTGCCCACCGGTAACCTGTCGGACTCGCTCCTTCAGCTTGCCAACGGCTAATTCATTCCTTTGCCCTAGAGGATTATTACATGGGCTTATTTCTGGGAAGAATATGATTGTTATTAAATTCAATATGGTATTTCAGTTTATTCTTCTTGATTGGCAGCCATATTTCTGTCTCTTATGAGGTTTTGCGTACTATTCCGTCCGATTTATGTTTGGAATTCGCAGGAATGTAAGTTATGATAATGTGTTTTCAAATTTTTGTTTCGTTTATAACTCGTCACACTGTTACACAATATGTCAACAAATAGTCTCTAATCTATAGGAATTTATAGAAAGCTTTATTTAGGTTTACGCTGAACGCATTATTGCGAGTCTCGCTTCTAAGTATTATTCTTCACAATGTATTAACTATGACGTGTTCACTCTCCTATATTACTTATTCTACAATATGTTAGCAGCTTCATTTTAATAATTTCAAAGGATTGCTTTAATGTTTGTTCATAAGTTATCGTAATTTGTAAGGCTGTTTCTACAGATTCATTTGCTGCCATAAAATTTAAGGTATTCATCTAGCCCCATGATTTATTACTCACATCATTCTATGTTTCATCATTGTCAGGCTATTTTCTGTTGGAAATCCGTTCATAAGGTACTAGGATTTATAAATTCTCAGCCATATCACTTAAATTATATTGATGTTGGAGCATTTATATTTTTTTACATTTTTTCTGACCGTTTTCTATTTGTTGTCGTTAAAACGAACCTGAAACAATGGACAATGGAAAAAAAAGAAACTTCGAACAAATCTGTGTGTGCCTCGGTAAATGACGTGATTCTGGCGTTAAAAATGACGTGATTCTGGCGGTAAAGTTTAATTTGTTTGTTACTGACGTTATGAGCCTGATGAATAAAGCTGTCATTCATTGTCTTAGTGATGCTAAAAAGATGAATAATTTTGCAGCTGCAGTAAAGCCATCAGTGTAGCTAGTTATTTGTTAAATGAGCCATGTGAGGATTGAGCTGAAGCTGTTTATTATCTTCAATTACCTCATCGAACATCGCACCGATTTTTCTATTTATTGATTCTTATAAATTCTGAACTACCTATTCAGAATTTTTACGAATCAATAAATGCGTGTACTAAATTATCACTATTAATGCACGCCAATGGCGAATGTTATTGCAATATGAACGAAGGTAAATGAAGTCAAACTACATTTCTCGATGAGAAAGAACAATATAGCTCAATAATTTAGACATAAGATGCCTGCCTTCCAGTAGCCAAATTTGTCGCTTATTTAGTGCCTAAGACTTCTGACTGAAACATTATAAGCTTCATGATAAACAGTGTGTTTTATTGACAACCGCATTATGGCTTGTGTGTTGAGATGGATGAATGAACTGCGCTTATATTTTTCTATATTGTTGATCAGCACGTCTGATGAGCTGATCATGCCTTGCTCCTTTGATGTTTCTTCAAACCGAGAGCGTACTACCGAGTTTGTGTGTCATGGTGAAGATTAAGGTGGGGTTGGGATTGGAGGTTGGCTTCATTGATGGTGAATTTTTCGGGTCGGAGTTTTACTGTATTGATGGTGAATTTGTAGGGTTGGGGTATGAGTTTATTGATAGTGAATTTTTCAGGGCTGGGTAAAATAGAGTAGTGAACACAAACGTCGAGAAATGGTTTCTTCATGACTATCGGCACATTATTATGAAAAGGTTGTAAACATAAACAAAACTTAGGAGGGATTATTTGATAACTCGTCCAATTCTGGTCCATTTGGCAGTGGCGGAAGGTTATGAAAATTAACGCATTATTAAATGGTATGAAGTTACTTGTAATACATCCACTTCTCCACGCGTCAAAATTTTTTCTCGCTTCGAATCACCGACATGTGGAATAGCCTCCCCGATGACATCGTTGGCGCTCCAAGTATGAACGCGTTCAAGAACAGACTAGATAAAGCTATGGAAAAATATATGTTCAGATTTGAAATGCCTAGCTGAACCCGGTGGAAGTCTAGTAGCTACTTCAAACTATCGCCAGTCATGAAAAGATCCGATCAAATGATACGAGTTTAGATCTATGAACAAGGCACGAAAAGGAAAAGAATCGGCGACAGGCCACATCAGGCCTACACTTCAGCGCCGACATCACTATGTTATGTTATGTTATGTTAATACATGATAATCAAGGTCGCAACTGTAATGCTCTGCGTTGGAAGATTCGGCCACGCCTAAAGTAAAAACTTTACAACTCAAACTTATGACTCGACTGCAGCTAAGATACAACTGTTTGAACTGCAAAGCACAGGAAATTAATGGCTGCGTTGTTTAGTGCTCTGTGACAAATAAAATTTCCAGCGTGTTTAGTCTAGTTCGAATAGAAGTGTGCCACGACTGTTAAATATTTACATCAGGCGTCACACACTTATTCTTTTTTTTTAACTTCATTTGCGCGTTTTCAGTGACAGTCAAATTTATGGTTGGCGCAATTTTTAAAGTCCTACATATTCTACGAGATTTATCTAGCATTAAACTTTCAACAAAAATATCCAACTTGATGGTATTTCAAGTGTAAACGAGATATTGTAGGCATAATTTAGATGGCCGTGACGCTCGATGTCATCACCCTCTGTGCCACGTACGAATGAACATAATACAATCTCAGGATTCGTCTCTTCCAAGTTGGTTCCTGGTCATCGAAGTATCATGAATGTTGAGCGATATTTCTACGTGCTGTCAATAGGAGCAATAATGATTCATGACTATAAAAATATCTTAGTTTCAACAGTGCCGTCACTGAGATTTTATGAATTCGCGCATCACCATTCTTTACGTGAAATAAAGAATGTTCTGTTGCAATCCAAATTGGAAAGGTAATTTGAAATTTCGCGATTAGACACTAAAGTGTTATGAGTGACAACGTGTCGTTGAAAGTGAAAGTGTGTCGGAAAACCAAGTTCCCACCAAGCTAAATTAGCAGATGATTAAGTGCGGTGAATTTATTTATTGCATTTCATACGCTTGATCCGAACAACAAAAACAAATTTATATATAACCGAAAGATGATAGTTCGCGTATGTGACGGGAGACAGCTTGCGTAAAATTTATTCCCTTCAGAGACGTAAAATCTTTTCTGAACTTCAAATTACTATTAGCCCCTGATCAAATAATGCATAAAATTTCTGAAAATTTTCCGGAGTCATATAATAATATTGCATATTATTTTGCTAGTTTAAGAAAGTGCTTTAGGAATGTTGCAAGCGACTTGTTTGAACGAATGTGATCGGCTGGGTCGACCTTGCCTGATTCCGAAAAACGAGGTTGGTGCGATCATTTGCTCCCGTTCGCTTAATGCGCACTGGAAAACTTCCCTGTCAAATATATTTTTATTCAAAAAATAGGTCTAATAAATCCTAACCAGACTTGGAAACGATATAAATAACTAATTTTACGAAGGAAACGTTTGTTATAATTTTTTTATTTATTGTAATTAGTCGCAGCTCGTTAAAAGGGAGTTTCATAGGCGCCATCTTGTCGCTATGTCTTAAAATCTTTGCTCAAGTGATCGAGATAACCATCCACTGGGATAAAACTGTTTTGCCGATATTCTTTGTGCGCAAACGATGCTATTTTGCATTTTAATGCCTTGACATTGTGTGTAGTATATGTACTTGAAATTCTATATTAGTGGTCAATAAAGAATGCATCAAAGTACATAGTAATTGGGGGAACTTCACAATTCAGAAAAATTTCGTTGTTCTGACCACAAATCACCCTGGATCCAGAAATACTTGTTCCGTATCCCAAATTATCCTTAACTATATCTTGAAGCGTCCTATCAAATATCCTGAATCGTCCTGATCCTGATCCTTACTCATATCCTGAATCATCCTGACCACATCCTGCATCATCCCGACCAGTATCCTGCACCGATACAGTTCTCACCAGCACCATCCCAGGTCTCCCTCGTATCCAGGATACGCGTGCCAATTTCCGTGGAGTTGTAAAGTCGTTTGCTCGTCGTAACGCAATCCTCGCTTGCTTGCGGCTTTTGCGTCACGAATGATTGTTTTTTTTTTATTGAAAAATTCCTATAAAAATTGTACATATTTCGAGCCGCTTTGATAAAATGGTTCAGTTATTCTGGAGTACTGTATATGGTTATTTGAAATAAACGTTTACCGTTGTACGCCATAGAATCAAAATTGTTTTCAAATTATGAACTATAACATTGTTATTTTATAGAAGAATATTAAATAAATTAATGCGGTGGCTAGGTGGAACTGTTACTTTGTCTATCTAATAAAATCGTAGGTTGTTTAATGTTCCATTTAGCTAAGAATTTGGCGTTTTCACGTCGAATAAAGTTCTTATTATAATATTTGTATACGTTTGTACTGCATGATTCTCCATTTTCATTACAGTACAGTTCTACGGAGAAGAACCAACTTGCTACTCTCAAAGCATCCGTCATTTGTCGGACCCAGGTGCTGAGTTTAAACTGTTTCAGAAAATTGAGTATAAATATCTTAGTAATGACTGTAAACTGTTCGTGAAGATATTTATTAGTTGCAGAAAATAATTTGTCTTTTAATTACCCTACATGCATCATTCATGACATAATACGTAATTTGATTCTAGGATTAGTTTGTAAGCGTCCTAATTCATCAAACTATATTTGTAACGCTATTCGTAAAACAACTTTGAAGTCATTCGTCTTGACAAAATAATATTTGCAATTCTTAACGCTTCGTCTTGACTCTCCGTGTTGACTCTCCGTTTAGGCGCATTTGTACTCCGTTGGCAATCGTACGCCAAGCGCAGTCGGGCGTCAGGAGCGGACAATAAATCCACGTGATTTACACCCCACATTTAACTACCTAACGCATGAGAAGTGATAAATACTATAAATAATGGTACGTATAATAAATGACTACCACAGATGAAACAGTGATAGATTGACTGCGACTCACTCGAGCTCTGCTTCAAGTTTGGATAAGCTTGATTTGGTCTCATTGTTAACTATAGTCTGAGCTGCTCTATTCCAGTACTGATACGGTACAACTTCACGGAGGCTGTTATGAATCTTATTTGATTTTAACTTATATTTTTGGTCTGGTCTGTTGCTTAAATAAATTTGTAATTTAGAAATTAGATAGTTAGAAAAGGTAAATGTTAAACTTTGGGCGCAAATATTATAATAACTTACATAAAATGTATTTGTTTCCATTGTTTCTTTTTATTTCTTAATTGTTGAAGCTGCAAATGTTTCATTCAAATGTTTAAAATTATTAAATTTTATACATGAAAATTTATCTGCAGTTTAGTCGCAGCTATTATAAGTAGTCGCTATCATAAACTTTGAATCGAAATAAAGCCAAGACCAGGTGCATATCTATGTTCTCCTTGCATCGTTTTAACATTGTTTCGCGAGCGTTATCAAATATTTGCATATCCGACATACGCAAAAATCACGAAACTTCTAAGTAAGCTTACCCAGGCCTCCTGACTGAAGGCAGGGCCGGGAACGCGAGAAGCTAGGCGGGTCAGCGCGGCAACAAAGGAGGCGTTTGCCTGCTAGCCGAGCCTAACAAAATTGCTCTGTTGCTCTCATTGAGACAGACTAGGCCTCGCCAGTGACCCGCCAGACGTCGCACGGGGAGGTTATGTCTGCTCTGGCTCCGAGCGGCGTCAGTGGTGCATTGTTATCGACGACAACAATGCGCACGGTTTCATGTCCAGCCACCATACATGAAAGACATAATATCAGTTTATTTTATTGTGTGTTCATGACGCTTTGTGAGTAACAATGATATTCACGTAATAGACGAAACTTTTCGTGGATGAAGTGAGAATTTTTGCGTAAGTTTGTATAATTCCGCGATGAGTAGACAGCTCGCGCAGCACATTTTTCGCCACCCTGAAATTCCGGAGAATAAAAAGGCGGATAAGCTGCCACTTTCAGGAGCCTCTGCCTTCGGAATTTCCTACGCTTCTCTTCGTATTTTATTATGTAAACATTTTCGCTTTTCTCCAGGTCCTTACCTCACGTGCGGTCAGGTTTCATTTTTTTGCTATATACACAAGCTAACTCTGCATTAGTTGGCTGGTGCAGTTGCAGTAAAAAGTTACTGTTAATACAGTATACATAGATAATTTATGGTAGTTAGTAGTTGCAATAAAAGGTAAATGTTAAAACAATAACTATATATTAAGTTAGGGTATTTGCTATTAGTTGTATTAACGTCCATACAATTGTGTTCTTCTCTTAATCTTGATGCTTATACAACGATCGTATTTAATGACTCATTCATGCGGAATTCAAGCATATTATTC